GATGCCAGCCCAGACTACTATACCCAGCAAAAATTTCAATAACTATACATGGAAAAAACAGGATATCCCATGACAAACCCAGATTTAAACAATACATATCCACTAATGAAGCCCTACAGAAAGTACTGGAAGGAAAAACCTCAACCTAAGGAAGGTAACTATGCTCACAAAAACATAGGTAATAGATAATCCCACTTTACCAAAAGCCAAAAGAAAAGGCGGGGTAAATCCACAAACAAGAACATCACCAACAACAAACCAAAAACAAACAAAAATTAGCACTCAATGGTCCTTAATCTCCCTCAATATTAATGGTCTTAATTTGCCTATAAAAAGACACAGGCTAATAGAATGGATTCGAAGACAGAATCCATCCTTCTGCTGCATACAAGAAACACACCTCAACTTCAAAGACAGATATTACCTCATAGTAAAGGGTTGGGATAAGATTTTCCAATCAAGTGGACCCAAGAAACAAGTTGGTGTAGCTATCTTAGTATGGAACAAATTGGATTTCAAACTAAAATCTATCAAAAGAGATGAAAAAGGTCATTTCATATTCATCACAGGAAAAATCCATCAGACCAATATTCCTCATGAACCTTGATGCAAAAATATTCAATAAAATACTAGCAAATCGAATCCAACACAACAGAAAAATCATCCACCATGATCAAGTAGGCTTCATCCCAAAGATGCAGGGATGGTTCTACATACGAATATCTATTAATGTAATCCACCATTTAAACAAATTTCAAAAGAAAACCACATGATCATCTCACTTGATGCTGAAAAAGCCTTTGACAAAATCCAACACCCCTTCATAATAAAGGTCCTGGAGAGGTGAGGGATAATAGGAACATACCTGAACATAATAAAATCAATATACAGTAAACCAACAGACAACATCAAACTAAATGGAGAGAAACTCAATGCAATTCCTCTAAAATCAGGAACAAGACAAGGCTGTCCATTCTCTCCATACCTCTTCAATACTGTACTTGAAGTTCTAGCTAGAGCAATAAGACAACAAAAGGAGATCAAGGAGATACAATTTGGAAAAGAAGAAGTCAAACTTTCACTATTTGCAGATGATATGATAGTTTACATAAGTGACCTGAAAAATTCTGCACGGAAACTCCTACAGCTGATAAACACCTTCAGAAAAGTGGCAGGATACAAGATTAGCTCAAATAAACTAGTAGCTCCATTATATACAGATGATAAATGGGCTGAGAAAGAAAACAGAGAAACATCCCCTTTACAATAGCTACAAACAACATAAAATATTTGGGGATAATGCTAACCCAACAAGGGAAAGACCTGTATAGCAAGAACTTTGAGTCTTTAAATAAAGAAATTAAAGAAGATACCAGAAAATGGAAAGATCTCCCATACTCTTGGATAGGTAGGATCAACACAGTGAAAATGGCAATCTTGCCAAAAGTAGTCGATAGATTCAATTCAATCCCCATCAAAATCCCAGCACAATTCTTCACAGACCTTGAAAGAAGAATATCCAACCTTATATTGGAAAACAAAAGACCCAGGATAGCCAAAACAATCCTGTACAATAAAGGAACTTTCAGAGGCATCACAATCTCTGACTTCAAGCTCTAATATAGAGTTAGAGTCCTGAAAACAGCTTGGTATTGGAACGAAAATAGACAGGTAGAACAGTAGAATTGAAATGAAAACCCTGATATTAACCCACACACCTAAGAACACTTGATTTTTGACAAAGAATCTAAAATGGAAAAAAGAAAGCTTCTTCAACAAATGGTGCTGGCATAACTAGATGCTGGCATGTAGAGGACTGCAGATAGATCCATGTCTATCGCCATGCACAAAACTTAAGTTCAAACACATCAAAGACCTCAGCATAAATTCAGCCACACTGAACCTCTTAGAATAGAAAGTGGGAGGTATCCTTGGACAAATTGGTATGGGTGAATGCTTCCTGAACATAACACCAGTAGCACAGACACTGAGATGGACAATTAATAAATGGGACCTCCTGAAACTGAGAAGCTTCCGTAAGGCAAAGGACACAGTCAACAAGACAAAAAGGCAGAATAGGATCTGACAGAAGGCTGATCTCTAAAATTTACAAAGAACTCAAGCAAGTCTCCAAAACACCAAAGGGTCCAACTAAAATGTGGGGTGCAGAATTAAGTAGAGAATTCTCAATAGAGGAGTCCAAAATGGTTGAGAGACACTAAAGAAATGCAAATAAAAACAACTCTGAGATACCATCTTACTCCTGTCAGAATGGCTAAAATCAAAAACACCAATGACAGTTTATGCTGGAGAGGATGTGGAGAAAGAGGAACACTCCTTCACTGCTGGTGGGAGTGCCAACTTGTACAGACACTTTGGAAATCAGCATGGAGATTCCTCAGGAAAATGGGAATCGGTCTACCAAAAGATTTAGTAATTCCAGTCTTAGGCATATACCCAAAAGATGAACATTCATTCAACAAGGACATCTGTTCCACTATCTTCATAGCAACATCATTTGTAATAGCCAGAACCTGGAATCAACCTAGATGCCCCTCAACTGAAGAGTGGATAGAGAAAATGTGGTACATTTACACAATGGAGTACTACTCAGTGGAAAAATCAATGGGATCTTGAAATTTGCAGGCAGATGGATGGCACTAGAATAAACCATCCTGAGTGAGGTAACCCAGCCACAAAAGACAAACATGGTATGTACTCATTCATATATGAATTTTAGACATGAAGCAGAGGAGTGCCAGCCTACAATCCCACTGCCAGAGTGTCTGGGAAACAGGGAAGACCCTAAGAGAGATATGCACAGTACCCCAGAGAAGGGGAATGGGACAGGATCTCCTGAGTGAATTGGGAGCATGGAAAGAGGGGACAGGGAACTAGGGTAAAGTGAGGTGGTTAAGAGAAGGGGAGAGTACGACATGGGGGAGCAGGAAAGTTGAGTCAGGAGAAGACTAGAGGAGAGCAGAATGAGAGATACCATATGGATGGAGCCATTATAGGTTTGAGGAGAGATCTGGCACTAATGAGATCTCCAGAGATCTACAAGGATGACACCAACTGGCAATCTAAGCAATAGTGGAGAGGCTATCTTAAATTCCCTTCACTGATAATGGGTTTGAGGACTACCTTATATGCCATCCTAGAGTCTTCATCCAGTGGCTGATGTAAGCAAAGGCAGACACCCAGAGTTAGCACAGAACTGAACTCCTGGAACCCAGTTGCAGAAAGGGAGGAATAATGAGCAAAGGGGTCATGACTGGGTGGGTGAAACACACAGAAATAGCTGACTTGAACAAAGGGGAGCTCATGGACCCCAGACTGATAGCTGAGAGATCAGCATGGGACTGATCCAGAAACCCTGAATGTGGATATCAGTGAGGAGACCTCTATAATCTTAGGGGCCTCAGATCCTAGGTCAGTATTTACTTCTGGCATCTGAACGGACTTTGGGAGCCCATTCCACATGGAGGGATGCTATCTCAGCCTGGTCACGATGGGGAGAGCCTAGGCCCTGCGTCGGATGATATGACAAATTTTGGAGATCCCCCATGAAGGGCCTCACCATCCCTGGAGAGTGGAATAGGGATTGGATGGGGGGATAGGCGGGGTCAGGTGTGGAGGGTAGGGAGAAGGAACTGCAATTGACATGTGAAGCAAGCTTGCTTCTAATTTAAATAAATAAAAAAATTTAAAAAATAATACCAAGCGGTCAACCCTGAAATGATATACACACATGTAACACAAAATGGGATGAATTACTGTACATGCATGTGTGTGTGTGTGGATGTGAGTGTGTGTGCGCTGAGTGTAATAACAAAGAAAAACAGGCCATGATTTCAAAGGGCAAGGGGGAAGGATTGAAAGGAGGGAGGACAGAGGTAAATTCTATAATATTTAATTTTTTAAAAGTTTCAGAGTCATTATTGAGGAATACAATGGAAACCAAACTGGGTTTTGTGCACAGGTGAAGCCCTTGACTGATTCACCATGTTCCATCCACACTGTGGTGAGCATCTCATTATCAGGACAAGGGTGGGGATGAGAAAAGCAAATGATGAGCATCTCCTGAGAAACAGTCTGAAAGCTCTGTTCTTGGGCCAGCAAGATAGCTCAGTAGGTAAAGGTACTTGACATCACGTCTCAGGACTTGGGCTTGATCCCCAAGCCCTACATGGTAGAAAGGGAGAACTGGCCCTTTGCAAGTTGACCTCAGGCTGTCATATACACATGTGGGACACACAAAATAAACGTAATTTTAAAATATCTCTTGTCTTAGCCAAGCATGGTGTTTCATGCTAAGTCATAATTGTCATGTGTTTGAAGCCAGCCTGTGCTACATGGTGAGCTCCAGGTCAGCTAGGGAAACCAGAAAAGACCCTATTTCAAAATAATCAATCAATAGTAAGTTTCTGGTCTTGAGTCTGAGATAATGATCAATGAAAGTCCTTCACCAATCAGCAAGGAGGCCAAATCTCTTTTCATGAATTCTTTTTGTTCATGTATATGCGTTTATTACCAAGTAAATATCCTAAGCTAAATTCCCTATTACAGATCACACATTATGAAAATGAGAATTGCCTCTACTCATTACTATGAACATTAAGTTTAAAAATGCAGCATAGGAAATGGTGCATATAATTCACCTGATACATTAAAGTGCCCGTGAAAATATATAACTCTCACTAATACTCCACGTAACTTTTTATATGCAAATTTTTAAATTTTTATATATAATATACTAGATGCCATAATGAATTTGTTTGTAAAGTGTGTTTCTCTGGTTCTCCTTTCCTCATCTCTCCCACCTCTTGATGTCCTCACACCCCTTATAGCTGCCCCAGGTTCTTTAACACCTTCCCATTCCATGTGTCTTTTTCCCCCACCTCCATCCCTCCTCATCATCTAGTGTTACCCTCCCTTGGTCTCCTTTCCAGATTTTTTTTCAGTGAATTTCAATCCCTGACCTGTAGTGGCAGCTTTACCTTGTCCAGGCAGCAGATCTCTCCCATAAATGCATAACTTGTAGCCACACTTATTTTCGAGAACGTCGGGCAGAGTGTGATGAACAAAGTACTCCACAGAGCTGGATCCTGCCGAGCTGCCCCTGAAGACCCGTGGGTAAATGACATAAGCATCGTAGAGCTTGCCATCTGAGAATGAAACCAAGAAGTACCACTTCATTACTGGTTCTAAAACTCTCATCTGTCTGCTGAGAGACAGTTCCTACCAATAGTTGTTGTGGTTGGTTGGTTGTTTGGTTGGTTGGTTGATAGGTTATTTGTTTGCTTGGTTGGTTGGTTTGTTGGTTGGTTGCGGTTAGTTGGTGGTTGGTTGGTTGGTTGGTTGGTTGGTTGGCTGGTTTCTAACATCTTAGTTTGAATGGTAGAGAACAGAGTCTGTTCAGTATTCTTCAAGTTTGTTAACAAGCTATTTATCATTATTGATAGGGGCCTCCTTCTGTGCCTGTTGCCTGTTACATTTTCCCCACCCAACATTTCCCACTTAGGCACATAGCACAGGTTCAAATACCTCCAGTGAAGCCAAAGATAGTTATATAGCATAGATTCAAAGACCTCCAGTGGATACCCAAAGTCACAGATAGTACTGAGCCCACTGTTCTATATTTTCTCCTAGATACACATACCTAAGGCTAATTTATAAATTTGGCACAGTAAGACTTTAGTAGTCATAACTAGGGATCAAGATGGAACAATGTGTTATAACATAATTGACAGCATCACTAGTCTAGCTGGCTATTATCTCAAAGTAAAACAACTGTTACTCAAGCACAAGCACTGTGGTATTTTAACAGAAAATCTGGGAACTAATATAGTCAACAATTAGTGGGTAGGTAGCATTTACAACATGGATACACTGAACAAACAGATGGATCATGTCCCAGGCAAGACACTGTGATTTTATCACTTATCTCAGAATCATGTTCCACTTAAAACTCATGTTTGTTTCTTTCAGCAATTCCTCATTTAATCTTTTCACTTCTTCAGTTAACCTTAGATAAATGAAACCCTAGAAAGAAAAATCAAGGATCTACCAGAACCATAACACTTCCTCAGAAGAAATTAATATAAAATTTCATAAATGGTCTGAATTTCCCATAAATCAAACAACCACATGCTAATTGATGCCTTCATGCACAAATACCTAACCTGTTCACTTTCAAATGAAGGCAAAGGTTGCAGTTTCACCAGCCCTTTTTTTGCATGTATCAAGTTGGTATAAGTGTATAGTCATAGAACAAGGGAAAATTAGTATGTGCTTGGTGCTTCTTCTTCACTTGCTTAAACCTGAAAAGCAGGGGTGATTTTCATAAAGTTTTATCAACACATATTTCCAAAAACACTGAAACCTCTGTGGGACTCGAGCAGATTCTGTTATCACGGACTCACTAAGAATAGCAATTCCACCAAAAAGAATATTTGAGATGAATGCCGAGAGTACAAGGAGTGACAGGAAAGACATGGAATATGATCTACATAGACTCAAATATCTCATTGATGAGGTTACAAAGAAAATGAAAATTGGGTTTAGCAGCATAACGTCAATTAGACAAATAACCAGTAGTCACTGTAGGACTTTTTCTTGTCAAGAGAATCTTGAACTTGTTACTCACCATTTTGAGTTCTGTAAGGTGTCACTATGTCCCTCCAGAACAGAGCAATCTCAATCCAGAACACTTTTAAGACTATCACCAAGACATTGATGAGCATTAGCAGTATACTACATCCTGCAACTACATAGTAGGTGCTTTGATGATTAACTATCAAGAGATGGAGAGAAAAGAAAAACAATGATTAGTATTAGCAAAATAAGATAGAATTGATGGGTATGTGAACATTGACATCACTTGAAACCACAAGACATTCTCACCCAATAAACGAACATTAAATTTTCATGAACAAATCAAGTGTATTATCCCATACTCTGTGCAAGGCTTAAGGCTTGCTATAACAGTGTTTTTAATGGTAAAAGACACACAGACACATGTAAATCCCAGTAAGATAGAAGATAAGGGATTTCAACTGACAAACATTTTGAAGAGAGCTAGCTCTATGCTGGAAGAAATAATGAAACTTTCCTATAGAATGAGATCACTAAAGGATGGGGAGGATTTAGAAAGATGCAGAAAAGGCAACCCACTTTGGTCTATAGAGGATCCTGAGATCATATGCAGAGGTGGGAGTCTGTGTTCTGAGAACTACAGCAATTCAGTTTGGAGAATTAGTGGAAGATGTGGTCTGGGGTATGTTTGACCAGAAACTCTTGCTATGGAATTTGTCATAATATGAAAGAATAGAGTGTTGAAAATGGACATTCTTAAAATCCATATATGAGAGGGACCTGGAACTGACTTGTGAAGCAACCTTGTTTCTTATCTAAATTTAAACTGGAAAATAAAATAAAAGAAAAAAAAAGAAAAAAATTCCTCCCATTGGATCCCATTGGCAGATTTCAAAAAAAAATTCCTCCCATTGGATCCCATTGGCAGATTTCAAAAAAAAAAGAAAGAAAATAGACATTCTTGTTATCAAAATTAATTTTTTGTAGTGGAAGGCTTTTTTGTTTTTGTTTTTGTTTTTTGAGACAGGGTTTCTCTGCATTGTTTTGAAGCCTGTCCTGGAACTCGCTCTGTAGACCAGGCTGGCCTTGAACTCACAGAAATCTTCCTGCCTCTGCCTCCCAAGTGCTGGGATTAAAGGCGTGTGCCACCAACGCCCGTCTGGAAAGCTTGTTTTTATAGGAGGAGATGACACATTCAAAAAACACAATAGGGCAAGCAATTGAAGGGAAGATGAGGATTTGAACACATGAAATAATGAGAAAGGAATTGACAATATCAGTGTTGGCAACACTGAGGAACATGAGTAAGTAGGTCAGGGGGTTTATTGCATCTAGAGGGTGGGGGATATAGAAAATAGGATTTCAGGTCACTGAGTATGTGTAGTGGATAATTCAAATTATCTAGTTCTATAAAGTTGGTGCCTTCCACTACTGAGATCTTCCTTTGGCCGTCTCTGAGCTTGGGCCCAGATTTCTTTTTTCCCAAAGCAAACAAGCAACATGGCTCCCAACTTCAGGAACTTGTAAGACACGTACAAATCGAACATAGAAAATGTTACCATTGATGGTATTCTTGGAAATTTTAACTCTATGATCCTCAGAAACTTTTAGAAGTGGTACTGCTTACACATGAATAGGAGGAGTCTCATAAGTTCATCCTGGCAAGTGGTTCTTTTTTCGTCTTATTTGTGAGTTCCCATACATAGGTCCCAAGATCTGACATGAAAATATCTACTAGTATTTACAAATTCCTCTACCACCCTGATAGTTTATGCAGGAAAATAAACTCAAGATATCAAATTCTGGTGATCCAAAGATGAGAAGAGAGCTTAAAACATGCCAGAGGTTGCTGTCTCTATTTCTTTAGGTTTAAATAAGAACTTCCCAAGGAACTCATTTGGAAGAACTGTCTAAAAGTCCAGCTGGATACATGCTAGGGAAGTGTGGGAAGTCTACTTCTTATAGGAACTCTTTCTGGCAAAGTACCTATATGGATAGCTGAATACATTCAACAAGAGGCAAGACCTTGATTCAAGATGTCCCTGAAAGTTGATGTTCAACATCTACCTAAGTGCTTATGACTTTGTAAAGTACAAATAAATCTTCTCATCAATGAGTACACATAAATGCTTCTTTTCAGTGTTTATAAACAGGAACATGTCATCTGTGATGAGTGCTGAATCTAGGATTACAGTATTTGGCAATCCCTCGGGCTTATTCTGCCCTTTCTTCCTCATTTAGTGAAATTAACGGATAGTATAGGTGTGGTGGTGATAAATGAGAAATTCTAAGGGAAAGTCATTAGATCTGGCCTGTACATAGAAAACTTTGAATATGTTTGTACTGTGGGTATAGCAGACACTAAATTTGCGCATAACAGTGTTTAGAAATATGTAGATGAAGGCTTTTTAAGTTTTTGTTATTCAAATTTAAGAAATATCAGAATTTCAGAAACAAAAGAATTCATTATGATAATCCAACAGCAATGGAGACAATTTTTATTTAATATGATGACTTGTTGAAATAATATGAACATGTTGATTTGAATAATAAGAGGTGGATTAAAAATAAACTAAAGAGTACAAAATCACACCCACACACACACAAAACAAATATAAAATTCCAGGTAACACAAATGTAATTACAATGACATAACTAGAAAATATTCAGAAATCTAGACAAAAGATACTGTTAGCAAATGAGGGTACTAAGGACACAAGGTCATGCTGAGTGAGATTAGGGGTGTGGCTTCCCTTTCCCTGTAAAATTCACTGTCCTATAACACAGTGCTGTGGCCCACAGTTATCCTAATACCATTATCAGGGAAGATGCCTAATGTTTTGAGGAACATAACAGCAATATGAGTCATCTATGAGTCTGATCATCACAATTCTGGTCATCTGAGAATCACAACTCTTTTCTTAATAAATATTTACAAGTCAGAGGCTAAAATCAAAACCAAAACAATATGGTGACACATATCTTTAATCCCAGTCCCTGGTAGCAAAAAAGCAGGTGGAACTCTACGAGTTCAAGACCTGATTGGTCTCCATAGTGAAAACAAACAAAAATAACAAAAATCCTAAATACCACATCAGGCAGAGACACAGCATGACTATATCAAATTAATACCCACCCTATCTTTTTAATCAGTGTTTTCATTCAAGCAATGCTCCACATATTGCTATCAGCTTAGAGTCAGCATCTCTCTCCCTCCCCACCCTCTCAATATTTGAAAGAAACTAAAAAATTTTTTACAGTAGTTGTATTGCCATTAGGGCAGTGGTAAGTATCATAAAAAAGAGTGATAAGGGTAAAAATATTTTATCCCCATACACTCTTTTCAAATGGAATCAAAGTGTTCATCTACCTATCAGGATGGCTGTATCTGTAAACTCAAAGACCAAGCAAGGACATAGATAAAGTACTCTAGATGAAGTTTGTAACTTGTTTTCTGTGACAAGATTACACAAAGAGACACAACAGGTTTATTCTCACTTTGAACCCAATATAAGCACCGATGTCTCTTGTAGACTGTGCAAAGGACAACGGAGGAAGGAAGCCACTTACAGGTCAAAAGAGAGAAGGGAAGGGAAGAGGGAGTGAGAACACACAACGGAACTTAAAGAGTATGAAGAGGTCTGTGGGGAGAAAACGGAGGCGCGGGAATGCAGAGAGGAGGAACAGAGTAGCACAGAGTCCTCCTGGAAGACAGAAACATTCTGGAAAGACCAGATTTAAAGAGCATCCTCATCAGGAGAAACACATTTCATGAGACAAGCCAGCTAGTACCACGTGATTGATTCCCTGGAACCAAACTGCAACGCACAGTCTTCTGGGAAAACGGCTGCAGTTTGCAGTTGATCCGGCCATTTTAGTCAAGCTAAGGGTGAGGGACAGTCCTTACTTGGTTGCTTCCTTCTCAGTCGCACAGTGTGCCTTATCATGCCGTGATGGCTCATGGCCAGGCAGTCATATTTCAGGGACAAATCCTTGTCTCTCACATCGCTTATTCTTAACACTGAGGTTAAACAATCCATGTCATTGCTGGAACTGAGAAAGTGAAATGTTACTGATAAAAGTTTTCCAGGCAAATGCCAGCTGTGGGGAGGGGATGGGGGGATGTTTGGACTCAATATAGAAATAGCTAGGCATGCTTCTAACCCCATCTTTCAAGAAGCAGGAGGCTAGCCTGGTCTACACAGTAAGTTCCAAGACAGCCAGTACTACACATTAAGACCTTGTCTCAATAAATAGATTAATGTAGCTAGGCAGATGATAGATAGATAATAGATGGATCAAATACCTTTGATTTTGTTCTTTCTCCTCTTGAATTCTTGCTTCGCTAAAATTTTCAACATTCCTTTCATTAATCTGCCACAGGACATCCATCAAGAACTGAGGGCCTTTGCCAAAGCAAGCCGAGCAAGTGATATTCACTGTTTTTCCTAGTGGGGAAGTGAAGAGGTTCATGAGGGAAATTAAATTCTGCAAGTGGAATCAGTTTCACTCAGTGTAGTAAACCTTCTGCAGCTCGTACTCAGCTCCTTCCTATCCCTCCTCATCTCCTTCCTGTGCCTTTTTTCTCTCCACCCCCACCCCGGCCAGTGTCTCCATTTTCCTCAGAGCCCCGCCACCCTCTTGTCTCTGAGAAAACGAAGCTTGCCCTAACTTCACAGACTCACACATAATCATGACAGAGTTGCTGAGAGTTGAAATGTGAGTTTCTTTTTCACTGGTCCCTTCCATGTCTTTCTCTTTCCACAGAATTCCCCTTGTTGCTCCGTGGCTGCTTTTGGAATTAAAAACTGCTTTATCCAGCCCAACTATTATCCTGGATGTAAGCAGTCACAAAGAGTACTCCCCAGTGCTCCATCCCACCCCCTTCAACTTAAGACGTCCTTTTGGGACTGAAAACATCAGAGCTAATTTTGGCTACATTTATACATATATTCAGCCCTCCCTTCCTGAACTGTAGGTTCCCACCAGGAGCTTGCCTAAAGGGAGACACATAATTAGCATCATGACCACAGAGTCTCTGGAACAACAAAGCTATGGAGAAAGGATTAGAAGCTGCCATACTGTGGTTGGAAATCGTAATGGCCAAGACTGGAGCTGATGATACAGAACCAAATGCTGTTTTTTGTTTGGTTGGGGGTATTTTTGTTTGTTTGTTTTTGTTTTGTTTTTTGGGGCAAGGAAAAGGGTGGCGGGAAGGATTACAAACAAGAAGTTATATATGATCATACTCCCCTGAAATGAGGGATAACAGTGTGGGTATAACAGGGAGGAAAGCAAAGCACATTGCTCATTGGAGAGTGATACACTGAGGCCAGGAGTGTGGGTTGAGTTATAGGTTACAGATGGGTGATGAAAGGGGCAGAACTCATCGTGGTGTTTCAGACACCAGGTCTTTTTCATTGCATCCAGTTTCCAATGGAAACCAACAGGAGCAGAGACATAGAGATTAATAAATTCATATTTTTATTATTTTGCTGTCACTCATCTATGACCTTGGGTGTGCCTTTGAGCATCTCTGAATCTGTTACTCAAAAAGGAAAGTGAGGACATCTTCCCACTGGATAGAAGTGACGACAACAAGCAGTGCGTAAATGAGATCTATGAACTGCACATCTCAATACAAATGCAGTGTTGCATTTTGCTCTGATGGGGACAGGTGTTTCCATACCTCACATAATCCCCAAGTTTTCTTCTAATAATTACAGGACCCTTCCATAGGAAACCAGACCCAAAATCATAAAGAAATATTTTCCAGGTTAGCAGGGACAGGGAGTTGTTTGAAATTTCTTACCGATCAGCTAGGCGTTGATGGCACATGACTTTAATCCTAGCACTTGGAAGGCAGAGGCAGGCAGATCTTTGAATGAGAGGCCAGCCTGGTCTACGGAGTGAGTTCCAGGACACCCAGGGCTACACAGAGAAACACTGTCTTGAAAGAACAAACAGACAAATTTCCTACCAATTTCCACTTCCATGGTTTTGTTGTGTGAAGGGGCTCGAATTACTGGAAACACAGAAAATCCTTTTTCTGAAAATTAAAAAACAGAAATAGAACGTAAGTATTAATACATCGATTTCATCAATATAAGCTAGTTTCTTCATAGTTCTATTTTATTTCATAGCATTGTGTCAAATATTTTGAAACCAACCTTTGGCAATGCACATACACTCACTCACTCACACACACACACACACACACACACATACACACACACAAACGAAACATATTTTAAGCAACACTTTTTCTGATTACTCTGATACTTTTTGTGATGTCTTCTGTTCTCTTCTGTATCAGTAAGACAAATGCTGGTCTAACCCATTAGTCGTGTGACTTAACAATCATTTGAAAACCATGATTCTGTGGGATAGGCATAAAAGTACAGAGAATTGGCAGTCAATGGACTCATGAAAGTGATGCATTCATGAGCCCACGGGTGTGCAGCTCACCACCCTCCACTACTGTGTTCACCCTCAGGAGGTCTCCTTCCTATGGCCACTGAGGCTGAGACAGAAGGAAGCAGGAGGTCTCCTGGAGCATGGATGAATCCTTCGTTCCTAGGTGCTCCTTTATTCCAGGGTGTTGAGATTAGGAAGCATTGCAGGAGTTGACATTAAACAGTGACACAAACACAACTGTGGTCTGATGACGCAATGGAGCACTGAGAAGGCTCTAAACAAAACATTTTCTTCAATATTGCTCCGTCCTTTGCTTGTTCATTGTCACTTGGATGGTGACATCCACCCCCCACTCCCCCACCCTGTCTCCTTTATACAGGAAACCGTACCCAGAAGATCTCAATTCTGTAAACTCCATCAGATATGATTAGGAAATCTCCCCCTCAAGTGGCTTCTGTAATATTGAAAATATATTTGGAAAAAAGGTTCTTTTCTAAACAAATGACCTGCTTTGACGATGCTGATATCAAAAGCATTGTAAGCCAGGACTGAAAACCACTCAGAAGTGTGTATAAAGGTCACTGTGCTGTTACACTCAGGCCTTCGTATCTGTAGTTTCCACATCCATAAACTCAACCAGCTATGTGAGGACATTAGTGGCTTCTTTGACCTTCCCCTTGTCTTTATTCCCCATCAGGCAGAATACCTGTTTATGCTGAGAAAATATATGAAACTAGAACATCCAGGATTTAAGTATACGAACATTCTGGAAATCAGTCAAAAGAAATAAGTAAATTCATACTGCGTTATCCTTAAAAATCAATCTCCAAAGGGGAAAAATAGTTATATGTGGCTTTGGTCCAATAATGTAATATCCTTTCCCTGGAATTCTTAAACCTTCCTGTCATAGTGGAGTATGTGAATGGGACACAGAAGAGAAGAGAATATGGATGGAGGATAGGAAATGCATCAGGAAGTATTCAGCTCTACCTTCTTGCTTTTGTTTGAATCTTGAAGCTTGTTGAAGCCGGGAGCTTACCTTCAACAGTGAATGATCTGGTCGCCGTCACAATGTAACTGGTTCCATTCTCAGTGTGTGTGAATTTACACGTGTAGTCACCCTCGTCATCTCGCCTCACATTGTTAATGAACAAGTATGATCTATGTACTCTGTACCTTGGTCCTTGAAGAGCTTTGCAGTTCTGAAGCAACAACAAGAAAAACATTCCATTTCTCTCCCACTGAGTTTTTCACTTTCAACTGCCTCAATTGTGCTAATTTTGTCTCTTTCTCCCCAAATTTCAACCTCTTACCTTAAACCACTGAACAGGTGCTGTCCAATTATAGAGGCCAATTGTTGGACAAGTTATCTTGGAATTTTTTTCTGATCCATTTACTGTTGAGTACATCAAGTAACTGGGAACGTTGCAGCCTGGTGGCTTTTTATGTATGGTGACATTCATGTATCCAGTTGTATTCAAGTCAGGACTATTGAAAGAAGGCGAGCATTTAAAAAGTAATACTACCATGTGATGGCTTAATTCAAATCTATCCCTTGCACAATGTTGCTCTTGCAAAAATGATGCATATAGTTCTCTTACTGCAAAATAATCATTAAATTCTTGAGCTTTTAAAGACTTCTTTGTTATCCTTGAGATGAAGCAAACCTCTGAAAATGGCTTCACCTACTGTAATGCTAGGATCTTAAGTAAAATCTATGTTCATGTTTGCTGAGCCAGATAGAGAGTTAAGCATGTGTTGTGGATTATATTACATCATTCTCACAGCGATTATTATTATTTTTGGATCATGATACTACAGTATGAATTTTACACCTGAGGAACTAAGAGACAGAGAAGTCACATGGAGGTACCATGCACCTAACTAGTAGAAGAGCATGGGTTTGAAACTGTAGTCTCCAAACATAGGCATCAAACTATACCTAGGCTAATCTGACACTTTGTGAGTACCAGAGGCGGTGTGAAATCTAAACACGAGGCAATTGCAGTTCAGACTGGGGATTTGCAGATATAGACCCTGGGTCTCTGCAGTCTACCTCTTTGTCTCGGGCTCTGGCATCTAATCCTTTTCACCCAACACAGATCTTTGTGATGCCAACAGTCTGGGCTTCCATTTGTTATGCTAGGTTGTTCCTAGCTAACAATAGTTAGCAATTATTCATTGTTGTTGGGTCACTAGAAAAGCTGGGCATTTTTCTAATTAGGAGATATATCTATATATGCCCTTGCTGTGGTACATTCCATAGCCTATCACCCATCAGGCTGCTGCTCTTCTCAGGCATACTTTCTTGTTCGAATCACTTTATAAATTGAAACATTCCACTGAGAGCAGAGAGAAGGCAAGAGCAGTTGGGCTATCCATCATTGGTGAAAAGGGAGCAGACACAAGGCTTTTGATGGTTTCCTGTATGATACCTTCTGATAACGCAAGCATACATCCCAGAGTCATCCACTCTGGCTGGTAGAAACTTCAGGCGATCTCTCCAGACAAAGATCCAATTTCTTTTTTGAGTAGGAATACTTTCATTTGTATTTAAGTGATACCATTCCACGGGATAAAGAAAACCTCCACTTTCAGGGCATCTCACAATTAAAGCCTCATTTTCCAGACCCCAGAATGGTTTACCTACAAATAAAGTATGGACACAATCCTGAAATGGCCATGTGAAAAGATCAGTTCTCTTTATATAACTTAGTGTCTCCATTCACGATTAAATTTCTAAAGAGATCATATATTGTGATGCTTTGAGAAATAATAAGTCAACAATCAAAAGCCTTTACTAAATGTGCTACATGGTGCAATAGACTAAGGAATCAATTTGAGCTTATATCTCCCTTTGCTCCTCGAGGAAAGCACCTATATTTACCAGAACACACTGTTGGTCAATAAATACCCACAATGCCTCCCACATGAAGGTACTGTGTTAAGTCTTGATTTATGTAACTCAAAAATTGGGATCTACTCACTATAGAGGATTCCTTATGAGAGGTTTACAATAAAGAATGAGTGAAGAGGAAAGAATTCTGTAGCACACAATTTAGTCCCAAACAACTAGAAGCAAACAACTGAAATGCAGCAAATGTTCTCCGAATTACTTAAGTCAACAAGGGTACAACTTATCTGAGAATCAATACTTACTGCTCTTAGTTACTGTGAAACACATGAGAACTGTCAGAATTGCCAAAGCGCAAAGCCCCATTCTCCGTTTATCAATCACCAGCACGTGATTGATTGTTGAGGTCCCCTGATGGATCAATGACACAGAATGGTGTCAATGTGTTCCTAGGTGTTTGAAGAGTGCTATCTGGTTTAGGGTGCAGAAGAGAAGTCACTGTAGCCACTGAAAAATAAATCACATAAACCACAAGTAAAATATTTATCTTGCCCTGCTTTTTACTTACCAAAGACCATAAAGGAGAGTCAATCAATTAACACATAAAATTTATTAAGTTCACCTATGCATAATAGTAGGTTTCAGGTATACAGTGCTACATTCATTCCTACTGAATTTGAAACAAGAGAGCAGCTCTCCCAATGACTAGATAATTTCACAATCATACCTTACCAGTCTCTTGAGCAACCTCATGAAGAAGCTAAGTTAAGAGGAAAGAAAACAAATTCTTACATTTGAAAAAACCAGAACCATAAAATTGAGTAGATGCTAGGAAACACAGTTTTTTGCAAAACCACAGCCATGTAGCAAGCCAGAGGCAACATGAACATGTCTGTTGTTTTACACTCCGGTACACACAGATAACTGTCACAAAAGCACTAAGGAAGGAAACTTTGAACTAAAACCAGCCAAAAGCCATCGAAGACTGTTCTCCAAACTTCCAAAGAATTGTCACTGCTTCAGCTTGTTCTCAAGAGCCACAGAGGATTGCTGGAGGTCTGAAAACAATGAAATCCCTTCCTTTTCCTTTTTGACAAAAAAAAAAATCAATTACTATAGCTTTTCCCCTTCAGTCACTAGGGAAGGGATACAGGTAGGAATAAATAAGAAAATCCTTAGTAATGTCAAGACATAGTATTTCTTTGAATTGTAGATATTTTTTCTTTTATAAACCAGATAGTCATCAATTCTTACCCTGAATGAAGGGCTGGGGAGAATGAGCTCAGGGCACTGAGACTACTTCCCAGCCTTTGGCACTCCGTCGTTTCCTTTCTGTAGACTACCCACGTGGACATGCTCCCTCTTTCATTTTAAACACACAGACATCTTGTAATATTCTACCCCACCCACCATGAAATTTGAGTTTTAGCCAAAATCCGTGACTTGTTCAGAAATGCTGCTGTATCACTCACCAAGAATTCTTAAACTTACCACATAAATATTTAACCATAAGGACAATGTTAAAAGCCATTTCTGGAGAACTGCTTAAATCACTTCCCCCTGTTTTAGCAGGGTCTCTCCAGTGGAGACAAATAATGCTATTTATTTCCTTGATGTCCCAACATTCCGTTCCAAATGACACACACACATTAGACTGTCCTTCAGCAACTCCCTGACACAACCTTTGGCTGACACCAGGCAGGAAGCACAGTCAGCTTTTGTGGTAGAGACAATTACACAAATCACCACAGACGGTAGGTAGGGGAGGGCAGGGGCACGGGGGCGGGGAGGGCGAACCCTGAGATGCACAGGGACTTCATGCTACATGGGTGCTTAGAAATGTTCTACAAGAGCCGCGCAGTGGTGGCCCACGCCTTCCTTCCACCATTTGGGAGGCAGAGGCAGGTGGATCTCTGTGAGTTCCAGGAGAGCCTAGTCTGAAAAGTGAGTTCCAGGACAGCCAGAGCTGTTACACAGAGAAAGCCTGTCTCAAAAAAAAAAAGATCAAAAAGAAGAAGAAAAAGACAAAGAAAAGGAAGGAGGGTGAGCAGGAGGGAGGGAGGGAGGGAGAAAGGAAGGAAGGAAGGAAGGAAGGAAGGAAGGAAGGAAGGAAGGAAGGAAGGTTGTATTGGACAGAGTGCCTTGGGCTCAGCCCAAAGGATAGTCTAGCACGTCAGATTTCAGGTTATGACTCTCAGCTGGGATGAAAATAACCAAACTTCAGGGAGGTCATAACCTTTTGGGGCTTTACATGAAGCAAATATTAGTGGTTGATTTTGACTTTTACTATACATCATCATCGTCATGGCTCTATTATGAGGCTTCCTTTGACGTCTTCACACAAAAGAAAAATTGGGGACCATCCCCAGACTAGCACACCAATAGAAAAAGGACTGAAATCTTTGAAGGAATCTCTTTTATGCGTTATGCAGGTCTCTGTGACTCGCCTATGTCAACTCTTCATTCCCCAACTCAACCACTTTCCTTCTTGTCACAGTACAAATGACGACACTGAGGCACTGAGACTAAGTGAGGGGTCCAAACAACACAGTGCTGAGAGAATTAGAGCCCAAGCAGGTTGACTGTAGAAACTAACCCCAAACACACCTGAGTCAGGTGCCGTGCTGAGGGTGACGGTGCTGCTAGCTGTGAAGGCACCTTGAGCCAGTTCCCTATCAATCCTTACGGTGGCTGGGAGTGGCCCCTGGCATCTCTTCCAGAGGCTTAGTCAGCTCTTAGGCTAGCACACTCTGCAAGGTGGAGATCCCAAGCCTTTTGTTGGCTGGGGGATTGACCTTGAGTTTCATCAGCTTCTTGCTGCTCTTGATTCTTATTATCCTATCGTATCAGGAGTCTGGGCAAAATCCGAGACTACATAATTTGGTACTATCATCAGCATCATTTGAATGTTATGGATGGAAATAAGAGCACAGACTAGCTGATTCAATAATTTAACCAAGCTCACTTGGTTAAAACTCGAGCTGTTGAATTAAGAAAAGTCACCTTCTTTTCCTTTTCCTCAGATCAGCAGAGAGACAGAGAGAGAGAGAGAGAGAGAGAGAGAGAGAGAGAGAGAGAGAGAGAGAGAGAGAGGGAGGGAGGGAGGGAGGGAGGGAGGGAGGGAGGGAGGGAGGGAGGGAGAGAGAGACAGAGAGAGGGAGGGAGAGAGAGAGACTGTATCTGTGTCATAATCAAAACCTCTCTCTTGTCACCAGGACTTGAGTTATTAAAGCAATAACCAGGCTCTTTAAGAAATAATAAGTCATTTCGGCCTCAGTTTGGGTTCACAGACACAGAAGACAGCTGTATGTGAATACATAAACATCAGCGTAAAGCATATGCGAACACAGACTGTCTCTAATCAATAATCCAAACAGGAGAGTTAAAGTAACCAAGTCCATCAGAAACAGTCCAGCATCTGTCAATCTTTCTGGAAATCGCCCCCCTCCCATGAAGTCTTCAAACTATCTTGATTTAAAAATCAACCTAATAAAAATCTAATGTAATTTAGCACTAATTCCCTCAATTTGGGGTTACATTTTTGAAGTCATATGTTTTGAAACTATTTGTCATCTGGCTCCCTGATATTTCTGCTATGAAGCAAATTAGAGCAAATCCCTCTGATACTGCTGGGGGAACAGTCATTTTCTTCCATTTGGAATGTGGCACGAGCATATTTTCTAATGGGATATTATGCAAAGCTTATTCATTTGACTTGGCCAACAGTGCAGCTTAGTTTAAACTACAGATATTATAATCTTCCCAGGCTAGCTGTATGTACCCTGATCTTATTGTAAATCTACTGTAGGAGCTAGGAACTTTTTTGTCACATTAGAAACACACACACATTTAAGCATTTTCATTTTTTTTTCTTTTCCTAATGAAACTGTGTGTGAAGCTGTCAGCAACCAGCTACAGATCCTATATAGCCTGGACTGACTTGGCCAACTGTCATCATAGGCAGTGCACATTCCATCCTGGATCCCTTGGTTCACTGCTCCAGGGCCACTCAGTCTCTGATGCTTCCTGCCGTTCTTCTTTCTGCTGTAGCTGGCACTTTGCTTCAGCAGAAGAACAAACTGGAAGAGTAAAGGCTTTCAACCTACGGAACCTTACATCACGTGTCCTCCAGCCTTGTCTCCTTTTCCCATGAAAGCTGGTTTCTCTGCAGCTTCTCCTATATCAGCAATGAGCACACCATCATTAGCTCAGGCAAAATTCCTCTCAAGTTCATCCCACCTGCAATGTTCCCCCACATCCAATCTTGCCTCTCTCATCCTCAACATCATCTTGTACTTGGGTTTTATTGATAGTTTTCTGGTGCCTCATCTGCCTACTCTGAATGCACAGACTCCAGAGAACCTCAGTCAAAGCATGCAGGCTCTCTGGCACCCTTCTACTTTGGCAAGAGGAAAGCTACTATCCTACGGTAGCCATGTGGACTCATTGACAGGATGCTTCCTATCACCTCTCCAGCCCTGTGTCTTTCGATCCTTACTACTGTTTATTAAAGGTATAAGGCAGACTCTGCTGTCCCCACTGCTCCTTCTCCCTGGACACCTCATTGCAGCTAGCCATGGGCTAACTGTTCTCCTCCAACCTGGGCTAAGTTAGACCTTGTCAACAAGGCTCAGCCTGATATCCTCGTGTGCTTTCTCTTGCTGTGATGAATACTCTGACCCAAAGTAACTTGCAGGAAGGAAAGGGATTATTTGGCTCATAGATTACAATCTATCACTGAGGGAAGCCACAGAAAGCGCTCAAGGCAGGAAGCTGGAAGTAGGAGCGGAAGCAGGAGCTACGGAGGAGCGCTGCTTACTGGTTTGCTTTGCCTGGCTTACTCAGCTACCTTTCTTAAACAGTCCAGGCCCACCTGCCCACTGGGATAGCAAAGGGCCCTCTTGCATCAAATAACAACTAAAATATCCCACGGACCAGTCTGATGGAAGCTATTTCGCAATTAACCTTCTCTCTTCCCAGGTGACTCTAGTTTGTACCAAGCTAATAAAAACTAACCAGTATGTCTGGAGACTACATTTTCTTCCTTTTCTTCTATTTTGTCTTCTGTTCTTCCTTCCTTTGTTTGTCCTTTTTGCTTCTTGTTTCCCTGTATATTTATTTAGTTATTCATGTATGTATGTATATATGCATGCATGCATGCATGTATATGTATGCATTTATGTGTCTGTGAGGAAGCATGAATGCCATGAAACACATGTGGCAGTCACAGAACCTCTCCCAGAAATCAGTTTGTTTTTTTCATGCCGACGTGTGGATTCTAGGGATCAAACTCAGATTGTCAGCCATGGCAGCAAAAGCCTTTCCCTGCTGATCCACCTCACCAATCCTGCTGATATTTCAACTCTTCAATTTTCCTTTCTTTTGTTGCTCCTGATTTTAAGGGAGATTCGCACAGCGTGAAACGAAGCAGCTTAATATGCACCACCCCTGACAGTGCCTTAACAGCTCGGTACTGTCATCAACACTAACTGCAATGCCTTTTCATC